AAGTAAATAATCTTTGCTTATTCTTGAGTTTTCTTATAAGTACACTTTCTGCATTTACCGGCAGGTTTGGCTTCAAGGACTTATCCAATCAGGCCTTTTTTGCAGAGGAGCAGCCAAAATCCCACCTTCACTCACTCTCGACTCTCCGCTCGGAAGCGTAAACTGGCTCTGCCAGCTTTCTGAGATTATGCCCTCCACCAAATGCGTCCTCATTACTTCTGCGAATGGGATGAAAACAGGCCTCGATCGGATGCTTTCCGTCCTCTCCAGCTTCAACATTTTTGGGGGGGACTCATCCGAAGCCCTCGGGGCTCTTCTATTCATGCCTAGGCTCCACCAGGCGACCGCCATCATTTTCGCTTCCAGCATAAGCTCGTATGGCGTCGAACTCTTCTGCAGACGCCTACAGAGTGCTGTATCTTGGAGGTAGCTCTTGCAGCCGGTACAAGCCTTGCATTTCCGCTTTCAGAAGCCACTAAATGGCTGTGCAACGAAGTAATTTTTGCGACTAAATTACTTTTTGCTTTCTGATATGACTTTCAGAGGATTTTTAAGGCAAGCCAGACCTGTTCCATATTACATGTATAAGACCAGCATCAAAGCGACAAACTTATCTTCTACCGATACAGTAAATTGCCCTACTTATAAGCATATTAAGTAGGTTCGAAAATATCAGTCTATCTTCAACAAGAGTTCTAGTCGTCCTAGATTGCACAAAATGAAAAAGAAATTTTCCTACTTATCTTATTGCAATTCTCATCTTATCTCATTCTTATTGAAGATATCGCTTTAGCCTAGAGACCTACTTACTAAGGATATTTGTAGTTTGTTGTCCTTTGAAAAGCAAGAGATCCACGCTAATACTTCTTACATCCCAACAGTGGATTCATACAGTTGACTTCGAGGCTATCACTAGATCTGAATCAACCTTAGGGCGGTTGAGAGGATGCAAGAAGTGGCATACAACTTCCCGCCGATGATATGAACGGAAAAGCTCATCATACCTTTGCCTCATAACAAACGTTCTCCTTTGGGCTGAACAACAGCTAAGATCTCGCCTAGGACCAAAACAGCACCCAAACGGTATTCGAAACAGTGTAATTCACATAAAGAGAAGATGCGTTAAAACACCGCCGTAAAACCGCATCTGCCAGGGGCTCACAGGACATGCTGCCGCCGCTAAACGCAAAATCAACAAAAATCCAACAAAATCAACTGATTACACAGTGCATTAAGTTTCAGGAATACAGGTGAAGATTTAATTAAGGATAATTCATGCTCACTTGATAGACTCAAGGATGAGGAGGGTGCTGAGCGACATTGAAAAAAGGAAACTCAACCAGGTTTTTTAACACTCATGTTTCCAAATACTGTCACATTTTCTATAAATATATTTCACACATGCGAAAACTCATCATTTTACCTAGACGTGTGTCCGGCATTACGTAATCAGGACTATGTTTAAAAATAAACTTTTATTTTTGGAATTAAGTATTGTTTTCGTGACTACCAGAAAATCAGTAATATAAGATGTATTCACCCAATTTCGTTTAAGGTGATGAAGGACTGGTAGAAGAAGAATATTCCCACAATGAAATGAGTTAAGCTGACATTTCCATTGAATTTTACATAGCCTTGCTTTCCCAAAAGTTGTTCTCATCCAGGCTGAAGCGGACTGCAGTTTCGGCCTTGCATCGGTCTCATCAACAACCTCAGCGGGAGTCGAACCGCGACAGTGCAGGATGGAAGCTTGACACACTAACCACTCGGCTACACTGCCGCGAGTTGAAACGTCAGCTTAACTCATTTAATTGTGGGAATATTCTTCTTCTACCAGTCCTTCATCACCTTAAACGAAATTGGGTGAATACATATCATATTACTGACTTACTAGTAGTCACGAAAACAATACTTAATTCGAAAAAAAAGTATAGTAGTCGATTGTTATAGCTTCATCGACAATTCCACCAAAAAAAGAATATATGACAAAAAGGCCTGGCCTTCCTTGAAATTCACATCTGCCCGTGACCCAAAGACACTCGTGGAAATGTGGTCGAGTGGTTAGCGTGTCAAGCTCCCATCCTGCACTGTCGCGGTTCGACTCCTGCTGAGAGTGTTGATGAGACCGATGCGAGGTCGAAACTGCAGTCCACCTTGGATGGGAAAGCAAGGCCATGTAAACGTCAGCTTAACTTATTTCATTGTGGGAATATTCTTCTTCTACCAGTCCTTCATCACCTTAAAATAAATTGGGTGAATACATCTTATATTAAAAATAAACTCAC